CCCGGAGGAGCAGTCGGAGGAGGCCGCGTGCGCGCTGGCGCCGTTGCTGTAGGGGAAATGGTCCTCCTCGTCGTCGTCGTCCTCCTCGGGGTCACTGTCCCTCAAGTCCCGCAAGCGGCGTCCGCTGCCCTTGTCCCCGGGCGCCGGCGGCCCCAGCAGCTCCTCTTCCCCCTGGTCCTCTGCGCCGCCGCCTTTGCACGCGCCCCCGCCGCCCTTCTGCTTCTCGGCCTCCTGCGCCGCCTGCTCTTTGGCCTTTTTGCTGCGTTTCCACTTCATCCGCCGGTTCTGGAACCAGATCTTCACCTGCTGGCACAAGCGGGCGTGAGAAACCGGCCACCTCCACCCCACCGTTTCGTCTCTCCGAGTCCCCCGGCTCCCGCACCTGCACCCGCCGGTGGTCTCAGCAAACCCCAGAGACGGCAGGGGGGCTCCAAAGACGCTCGGACTAGACCCCAGCTCGCCGGGCCCTCTGCGGAGGAGGGCCAGGGCAGCTAGGGGACGTATCTGTAAGTCTCAAAATCTTCCCTCGTCTCTTTGTGGAACAAAATTTCTCGAATGTGGCCTGGGGACCACCTGCTTCAGAATGGGGGCGGGATCAGGTAGTTACAATGCAGATTCCTGGGCCTCACCCCGACCTACTGAGTCAGAGCTCTGGGAGCGGGTACATGAACCTGGCGGCGGACCTGTGAGCTCTCCCCCAGATATTAATCCGCACCCTAGAGGTCTAAGAGGCCAGCGCCAAACGCCGAGGACGGCCAAGGGTCAAGAGTGCAGAGGTGAAGCGTCCCCTCGGAGGCCAGGATATGTTGATGCGGTGGTGGGGAGGGGGCAGCGCACCTGGGTCTCCGTGAGCATCAGCGAGGTGGCCACCTCGAAGCGCTTGGGCCGCGACAGGTACTTGTTGAGTTTGAACTGGTGCTCCAGCTCCAGCAGCTGCTGGCTGGTGAAGGCCGTGCGCGGCCGGCGGCACTTCCCCAGGAGGTTCGACTGCGCCTGGGCTGGGGATGGAGGGGGCGTGAGGCCGAAGCCGGGCTCAGTCCTCGCGCACTCCCACCTCTCCTCCTGACGCCGCTGCCGCTGGGCCGCGCTGCCCGCCGGCCCTGCAGCGTCGCTGCTCTGCCTTCAGTGTCAGCGCCCCCTCCCCCGGGGACGGGGCAGCTAGGGGAGGCCTGGAGCCCGGGACGCAGAGGCCAGGCGGAACCAGACGGTTCGCGTTCAAAGAGACCAAATCCTGTCATCTCAGACGGGGCCTGGGTGTCCTGATTAAAGAGGGCTTATCACTCAGGCGCCCTCTCCACCTGGGTGGGCGTTGGTAGAAAGAAGATTGACGGAAAGGCAAGAAGAGGTGGGCATGGCAGACCTCCTCCCCACTCCTCACGGCACTTTCCCCAAGTCAGACTCAAGTCCACAGAGGCCCCGGAATCACTGGCTGGTCCTGGCTCTTCCCACCCCGAGAGGAACTGGTGCAGGGTTCCCATGGCCACCTCCTTAAGTACAAAAGGAAGAGAAGAAGGAGAAAAAAGGAAAAAAGAGGAGAAAGGGAGGGAAGGAGGGAGGGAGGAAGGGGGGGGAGGAAGGAAGGGAGGGAGGAAGGAAGGAAGGAAGGAAGGGGACCAAATCCCACGCCTAAATATGTGTATTCATCAGAGACTCTGCCCCACTTAAACTGTTTTCTTGACAACCCCACCTGCTCCCAGGGTACAGAGAGGCCAAGCCTGGGGAGATTGGAAGCCTTTTCAGGACAACTCTCATCACGCAAATTAAAAGCCTAGTCAGAAGGGGCATCCGGGCTCTCTATGCGTTCAAGGAGGTCTCTCAGCTTTATTTACATAATTTCACACTGTTACATCACAGAGAATTTTATGACCTCAGAACTTGAGACTTCCCTTGATTTCCCAGGAGCCTGACAAGTGTTAGACAATAAAAGAAAGGAAAGGGAAGAAAGGAGCCCCAGGCAGGCAGGAGCTCCGGCTCCCCCGGGATGGGCAATTTGCTTTATGCGAAGGCCCACGCCCCCCGCTTTAGTTAAACAAGGCCCCGAATTCCCAACTTGACAATACATTAGAACTTTAATTAAAACACTGGCTCCAAAGGGACCATTTGGGAAATGCCGTCCAATGGCAGAGACAGCCAATTAAAGAAAACCAAACAGGTTTTCCAGCGACCAGAGGAGGGACTCTGAGAATACATTCCCGCATCCTCACCTGTTTATTATGGCCCTTTAGGATTTGGAGTCCAGATTCCTTTTCTGAACTTAAAGCTGGCCGGTTTTAATTCGGCTACCTCTAGGTCAAGATTAGGAATCAGAGATGGGTGAAATGTGTTGGCAAAGGGAAGTGGCTTTAATCGATTTTCTGAGCACCCTTGGGAAAGCACCGGTTGGCCAGGGAACCCAGCACCTGTGTGGAGACCACCGCCCCCACAGTGGTAGACTAAGCACCCCAGGCTCTGGGAAATGCAAGTCATAATGAAAAATCCATGGGGTGGCTCTCCATCAGAAGGGGTTCGCTGGGCTCAGGGGGCCAGGCCCGGAAGGGTGCCCTGAGTTTGGCTGAACCAGGATCAACAGATTCAGATATGTCTGAAGCTGCAGCCCCCAAACTGAGAGGTGCTCAGGAGCTTACCCTCTTCTTTGGGGGCGGGGGGGGGCTGTCAGGAGGGCTGATTCTCCAATGGGAAGGGATGGGTGGCCATTAGGGCCTTCTGGGAGCTGAGCTGTGAAAAGCCTGGGTGGCCGCAGGCAAACAGTGCACACGCTGGGATTTTCTCACTCGGCTGTGACTTCTCAGCACTGGGGCCTCAGCTTTTCTCGGTTTTAGTCACAACCACGGCTTCTAACAGAGGAATCTGAATTCTGGCAAGTGTTTATTTCTGTTTTCTTTTTTGTTTTTTTCCCTCCCATGCCTGCATCTCCCCAGTCTAAACAAATCCACCCAGACAGAAACAATGGGGTCTCTTTGTTTGGGTGTTGGGCGGTGAAATCATAAAGCCTTGTGCATCTTCCTCTGAGCCGAGCCCCAGTGAGGTGAGCAGCAGGAGAACAGACTCCCAGGAGGGCCAGCCCCGTGTACCCACATGCGCCAGGAAGGACTGAGCGGCGCCAGGCCTCCGAGGTGTCCCGCCTGGGTGGGGAGCACGCTGCCCACAGGCCAACGGCTCTCCGGTTGCCGGTAACCGGCTCTCCCTTGCTGCCACCTTGGCGAAGTGCTCTCTCTGTGTTGGGCGCCCCAAAGTCGGGGTTGGGCACCTGCTGCCTAGAGTCCCTGTGATGGGGTTCCTGAAGGAGGGCGCCATCGCTCGGTTCAAGTCAGGCCATCCGCCCCCTGGGCATTGCACCCTGGACCCAGCACCCTTCTAGAGGCAGGCAGAACCGCGAAAAGAGCCAGGGGGTCTCCAGAGCCCTGGCCTTGCGGCCCGGGGCCTCTTGAAACCCATTTCTCGTTCGCTGCCTCTGGATCTCGGGCCTCTTGAAACCCATTTCTCGTTCGCTGCCTCTGGATCTCTCCCTCTCTTGGGAGGGACCGGAGGTCTCTCCAGAACCCAGAATGCGAGACCCAAGTCCGTTTCCTTGGGGATAAGCCCCTGGTTTCGGTATACCCTGATCCCCAGTCCCACCTAACTCAGGATGCTCTTCGGCTGGCCTTCCCCCACCACTTCCTTCTCCTCTAGCCTGCCAGCTAATCATTAGATTTTAGTCTCACACCTCCAGCTGCCCCTTCCCGTTAAGAGAGGAAGGGAAGACAAGGCTCGCGTGTGGCCATTTTAATAACTCTGCCTCACCGCGCAGCCCGCAGGAGTCCTCGCAGGCCCAGGGCAAGCCAAAGCGGCCTCGCGGCCCTCCCCAGTTCACTCCGAGCAGAGAGCGCGGGGAAGGAGGCGCCAGTGGAGAAGGATGCGCGAGAGAACCATCTGCCAGGACCATTCCCCATTTCTTCCTCCCTCCCCGGGCGCGGTACTCACAGTTAAAGTCGGGCATCTTGGGCAGGATCATGCCCGCGGTGGACGCACGCAGCCACTGGTCCAGCTGGAAGGTGCCGGCGCCCAGCTTGATGGGGTCGGCGGGGTGCGCAGGGTGCCCGCCCTGCACCTGCGGGTACGAGTAGGAGAGCGCCGGGTGCTGGCCGGCCAGCGCGGCGGCCGCCGCCGCCGCCGAGTAGCCGTAGACCGGGTGGCCGTAGAGTGCCGCCTGCGCCGGGAGGCTCGCGCCGCCCTGCACGCCCCCC